GACCAGGCAGCATATTACAGCATTGCGCCAGTTGGAAATTGTGAATACACACCCACAATTAACAACTTTTTGGGAGCCTTGAACAGCCACCTCNTGGAAGTCATATGAAGGTTATGTGGAGGTCATATGAAGGTCATATAAAGGTCATATGGAAGTCATATACAGGTCATAGAGGGGTCATACAGAAATCGTCTGAAGGTCATATGAGGATAATGGGAGGGGCGGTAATTTATAAATTATGTGAGGATCATATTGAAGTCATATGAGGGTTATATGGAAGTCATGGGGATCATATGAAAGTGTTTCAAGTCATTTTTGAATAAAATTGTTACTTGAGGGGAGATGGAGGTGTTTGGATCAAATTTGGGGCTTTTATGTGGAGGTCATATGGAAGTCATATGATATACAGGTCATAGAGGGGTCATGTGGGGTTCATATTGCGGTCATGCAGAAATCATCTGATGGTCATATGGGGATAATGGGGGGGGGGTATTTATAAATCATGTGGGGATCATATGGAAGTCATATGAAGGTTATGTTGAGATCATATGAAGGTCATATAAAGGTCATATGGAAGTCATATACAGGTCATAGAGGGGTCATGTGAGGTTCATATAGCGGTCATACAGAAATCGTCTGAAGGTCATATGGGGATAATGGGAGGGGAGGGGTCATTTATAAATCATGTGGGGATCATATTGAAGTCATATGAGGGTTATATGAAAGTGTTTCAAGTCATTTTTGAAGAAAATTGTCACTTGAGGGGAGATAGAGGTATTTGGATTAAATTTGGAGCTTATATGAGGTCACATGGGGGTCATATAGACGCCCTATGAGAGTCATGGAGGGTGGGAGTGCTTTGAGAGATATACGATCCCGAGGGGGTTTATGGGGGTATTACGGAGGTCATATGAGGATCATAACGGCCATTTGATGGCTATTGTGAGGGTATTCTGTCGTGTCCTATGTGAGTTTTATGGATGTGTTATAGGGGTGTTGGGGGTTCGCGGCTAAAGAGGGACTGGGGGAGAAGGTGAGAGGGAGGACTGTTTGGGGACTAGAGTGGCATTTAAAGGGGAGGGGGGTATCATCATCTTCCTTTAGAAACACTTATGGGATATATCATAACGGGGGGGGGAG